CACGTGGAGAGGCAGCAAGTGTGGGTGCATAGCACTTAGGCCCATGTTACATACAGCGGGGCTGCAAGCAGGGAACGCATTCTGGTATCCAGTATTCAGTTACGATGTTAGAGCAAGTAATGAAACGCCAGTGTTATCCTTGGTACAGAAACCACTATTTCAGTATTTTAATTTGGGCTTGGGATGCAAATTACCTGCATCTTGAGAGCAGAGTCAACACCTTATAATTAAAAAAAAAATTGCTGAATACAACTCCTCTTTACTCAAAATTAGTTCCAAATGGAAAAACTGCGGGGGGGGGGGGGAGACTCCTCATTTAGAAAGTACTCTTTTACACTTTCCTGATCTTCAAGAGAAGAAAATGACAACAATGAAACCAGTAATTCCTACTTGAGGCCTACAGTTCAAATGAACGTGTGACGGCAAGAACATGAAAGCTTCATGGGACTCTCCAGCTACACATGACGAAACCAGAGATGAAGACGCATCCTGTGAAACCAAGTCTAGGCAGCTCCCTGGAAAGAGGCTGATATCCTTGCAAGAACACAAAAATAAAGTCGTTCAAAAAAAGTTATCACACAACAGGTGGAATTATTTGGAGATAAAGAAGTCTAGAGGAAAATGCTTAGAATGGGCTTAGAACTGTCTCCTTGCCATTATTTTATTGTCGCAAGTCAGAAAAGCCTTTTCCAGAAAGTAGGAAAATGTGCACAAAAATATACATGCAACTTAAACAAGATACCATGGATGAACCTGGTTTTAAGAGATTATACTTTAAAAAGATTACCAATAAAAATTGGTAAACCATGAGAGATTCTTGAATGCTGAAAACAAACTGAGGGCTGATAGGGGTGGGGGGGAGAGAAAGAGGGGTGATGGGCATGGAAGAGGACATTTGTGGGGATGAGCACTAGGTGTTATATGGAAACCACCTTGACAATAAGCTATTTAAGAAAAAAGTTTTTAATTAAAAAGATAAAAATTGTATTTTATTATAAATTTTCACTATCATGTAAATTATTTTCTTTGTGAATGGTTAGGTTT